TGATGACAGCAGCGCCTGCATACACTGCGTGATGACAGCAGCGCCTGCATCCACTGCGTGATGACAGCAGCGCCTGCATCCACTGCGTGATGATAGCAGCGCCTGCATCCACTGCGTGATGACAGCAGCGCCTGCATCCACTGCGTGATGACAGCAGCGCCTGCATCCACTGCGTGATGACAGCAGCGCCTGCATCCACTGCGTGATGATAGCAGCGCCTGCATCCACTGCGTGATGATAGCAGCGCCTGCATCCACTGCGTGAAGACAGCAGCGCCTGCATCCACCGCGTGAAGACAGCAGCGCCTGCATCCACCGCGTGATGACAGCAGCGCCTGCATCCACCGCGTGATGACAGCAGCGCCTGCATCCACCGTGTGATGACAGCAGCGCCTGCATCCACCGCGTGATGACACCAGCGCCTGCATCCACTGCGTGATGACAGCAGCGCCTGCATCCACTGCGTGATGACAGCAGCGCCTGCATCCACTGCGTGATGACAGCAGCGCCTGCATCCACTGCGTGATGACAGCAGCGCCTGCATCCACTGCGTGATGACAGCAGCGCCTGCATCCACTGCGTGATGACAGCAGCGCCTGCATCCACTGCGTGATGACAGCAGCGCCTGCATCCACTGCGTGATGACAGCAGCGCCTGCATCCACTGCGTGATGACAGCAGCGCCTGCATCCACTGCGTGATGACAGCAGCGCCTGCATCCACTGCGTGATGACAGCAGCGCCTGCATCCACTGCGTGATGACAGCAGCGCCTGCATCCACTGCGTGATGACAGCAGCGCCTGCATCCACTGCGTGATGATAGCAGCGCCTGCATCCACTGCGTGATGACAGCAGCGCCTGCATCCACTGCGTGATGACAGCAGCGCCTGCATCCACTGCGTGATGACAGCAGCCTACGTGATGACAGCAGCGCCTGCATCCACTGCGTGATGACAGCAGCGCCTGCATCCACTGCGTGATGACAGCAGCGCCTGCATCCACTGCGTGATGACAGCAGCGCCTGCATCCACTGCGTGATGACAGCAGCGCCTGCATCCACTGCGTGATGACAGCAGCGCCTGCATCCACTGCGTGATGACAGCAGCGCCTGCATCCACTGCGTGATGACAGCAGCGCCTGCATCCACTGCGTGATGACAGCAGCGCCTGCATCCACTGCGTGATGACAGCAGCGCCTGCATCCACTGCGTGATGATAGCAGCGCCTGCATCCACTGCGTGATGACAGCAGCGCCTGCATCCACTGCGTGATGACAGCAGCGCCTGCATCCACTGCGTGATGACAGCAGCGCCTGCATCCACTGCGTGATGATAGCAGCGCCTGCATCCACTGCGTGATGATAGCAGCGCCTGCATCCACTGCGTGATGACAGCAGCGCCTGCATCCACTGCGTGATGACAGCAGCGCCTGCATCCACTGCGTGATGACAGCACCGCCTGCATACACTGCGTGATGACAGCAGCGCCTGCATCCACTGCGTGATGACAGCAGCGCCTGCATCCACTGCGTGATGACAGCAGCGCCTGCATCCACTGCGTGATGACAGCAGCGCCTGCATCCACTGCGTGATGACAGCAGCGCCTGCATCCACTGCGTGATGACAGCAGCGCCTGCATCCACTGCGTGATGATAGCAGCGCCTGCATCCACTGCGTGATGATAGCAGCGCCTGCATCCACTGCGTGAAGACAGCAGCGCCTGCATCCACCGCGTGAAGACAGCAGCGCCTGCATCCACCGCGTGATGACAGCAGCGCCTGCATCCACCGCGTGATGACAGCAGCGCCTGCATCCACCGCGTGATGACAGCAGCGCCTGCATCCACTGCGTGATGACACCAGCGCCTGCATCCACTGCGTGATGACACCAGCGCCTGCATCCACTGCGTGATGACAGCAGCGCCTGCATCCACTGCGTGATGACAGCAGCGCCTGCATCCACTGCGTGATGACAGCAGCGCCTGCATCCACTGCGTGATGACAGCAGCGCCTGCATCCACTGCGTGATGACAGCAGCGCCTGCATCCACTGCGTGATGACAGCAGCGCCTGCATCCACTGCGTGATGACAGCAGCGCCTGCATCCACTGCGTGATGATAGCAGCGCCTGCATCCACTGCGTGATGATAGCAGCGCCTGCATCCACTGCGTGATGATAGCAGCGCCTGCATCCACTGCGTGATGACAGCAGCGCCTGCATCCACTGCGTGATGACAGCAGCGCCTGCATCCACTGCGTGATGACAGCAGCGCCTGCATCCACTGCGTGATGACAGCAGCGCCTGCATCCACTGCGTGATGACAGCAGCGCCTGCATCCACTGCGTGATGACAGCAGCGCCTGCATCCACCGCGTGATGACAGCAGCGCCTGCATCCACCGCGTGATGACAGCAGCGCCTGCATCCACCGCGTGATGACAGCAGCGCCTGCATCCACTGCGTGATGACAGCAGCGCCTGCATCCACTGCGTGATGACAGCAGCGCCT